AAAAAAAAAAAAACAATGACAAAAAAATCAATGATAACGAGGACCAAGACTTTTGTTTTTGTGGTGGCTCTGAAAAGAGGTCCTATGTGCCACTGGGCATTCCGGGATTGAGCGAGTGAGTGAGTGAGTGATTGAGTGAGCGTCCGAAAAGAGCCGTTTTGCACTGGTTCACAAAGAACTAAACTTTAAGTTATTTTTCTTGACGTTTTCGTACGAGGACGAAAGTGCTGTTTTCCGTGCTGTTTTACAAGTTTCTTATTCTATTAGATCGAGTAGGTTGTCGATCGAGGTCGTAGAGGATGCAAGGGTGGATTATAGCAGTTTTATTACGCGTGAGAATTGTGAACGTTTTTGAGTGCCTTTGTATCTCGACTTTAACACTCACGCATTCGGTCGGGCATTCTGTAATTTTTTGGGGGCAAGAAGATCACCGCCCGATATACCCCCTCCCCCCAAGTCCGAAGATGGCCGCACACCTTTGTCACTAAGTAGTGATCAGCGGTTACACCAATAAATAGTAAATTGGGCTATATGCCATTTCTGCTAAGCTCGATTTTGTTTTCACTCGAAATGCGATATTCAATGAAATAGTGCCAATTATGAACTATTAACAAATGGCGAATTTCAAGAACTCTCGTTTTTGAACGGTTGTCGGCTTGAAGCAACTCGCCCAAAAAGTTATCTGGGTATAGTTTGGTATGTCAGATCATATATTGTTCAGTGTCTTATTGGTCTCCCCGCTTGCAATCGCATTCTGACAGACATGTTTAAGCTTTCCTGTTTTTAATGAAAATTTGTTTGCTGTAACGTTTATGTTGGCTTCTTTAGATTGCTCGTGTGCTTGTAAGTCACGTCTTTAGATCTCTCTCCTAAGGTTGTGCCAATTTTTAGTTATTTTGCTGATAAATTGCGTGCGCATTAACATGATTGATCTGATAATTCTATTTCTAGAATGAAATTATCTTCCATGCATAGGATCGGCCAGCCCGCAGTTTTTATATTGCTCAAGGTTTAAGGTAAACAAATTATTTTTAAATCAATAGATTTTAAAAGTTGCTTAAGGGCTGATATTTCATTCCTGTTGAAGCTTAACACGATGCGCTATTAGTTATTCGCAATCAGAAAGGAATATCATGAGTTGGTATGAGATTATTCCTCTTAACCTAATTATTGCTAGTTGAACACAACATGAAAGCGCCCGTGGTATGTATAAACTACAGCGCGAACTTTTGGTCGAAGAAGAAAAGATGTAAAAAAGCACGATGACACGCCAGTTTTTTTACATTTTAAACTCTTAGTACCTAGAAGACGACAAACTGGATCCCCTGCGCTAATAGAAAAAAAGAAGAACGGTTAAAATAAAGGACAAATAAAGAATAGTTTAAAGCAAGCGTGCTTGCTTTCATGGAAAACCTTATGGACATTCTGGGTCCCTTTGCATCCTCACCAGTGCTTTTGGGAATGCTGGGAATGTACAGCTCCCAAAATTATCCCGGCATCGAAAAAATATATATATAATATCATAATTATATTATTGAGTCAGCTGAAGTGAAGTTATTATGTTTGTAAAGTCTTCAAAGAAGACTTTTTTCGTATTTTCTTTTATCTCTTTACTTTAATTTCCAGTGCTATTTCTTCCTTTCCTATGGTTCCCAAGCTCACTCAGTCTTATATTTGACAACGACAGAAACTTGTGGAACGTACGAGATGTATTGGTTCGTTTATTCATTATTTAAGTCATTTCGTGGTTCTTTGGTAAGAACACTCCCAAAATTAAATCGGAGATCATTTTGGGTTCGGTATAAGGGTCATCTTAGGTTCGATTGGGGGATCATTTTTGCCTAAATTGAAGTCATTTTGCGAGAGCCGTGCACGTCATTTCAGGTTCGGAATTACTTCGGGAAACGAACAGAAACCCATAACACAAACAAGTAACTCGTTATTACGTTTTAGTAATGTGGTTTTACATAAAACAAAAACATTCCAGAGAAAAATTTCTCGCCTCCTTTATTACCAAACAAACTAGAACAGCTACAAATTAGATGGGATGGGTAATGAACTCTTATTAATCTATATACATTGTTTCTTTATACAATGGAATCAAGTCTCAATATGGACAAGAACACCGAGCTGTTCAGATTGTATAGCGTTTAGCCAATTTTCCGCTTTGTAGTAACAGACAATATTCAGATGCTTTTCTCTCGTGTTAGTTTCAGCTGAGATTTTGCTTGATATTGGTCACACATAAATTGCAGCTTAACAACCTGCTAACAAAGTTCGCAAAATCTAAATTCCGGTTTGTCTCGGCTATTTCTCTTTCTATTTCCCTCGCAAAACCTTATAAAATCAAAGTTATATAACAAAGGATTCGCTATACTCGTGGCAGTCAGCAAATAGCAATGGTCTATATTTTCTCTCTCTCTCCTGTTGACGTATGTACAGCGGCTGTGAGAAAGTGTCCAGTCGACCTTTGAAATTCGCAAACCTTATCAAACAACGACATCTTCTTGTCCAATTAATCAAGCTCTTCCATTAAAACTTCTTGAATGTCGTTTGTGACGGTGATGCCGACCTTCATCCTTCACAACAGGTATCCCACAATTCAGAGCTCGCTCTTCATGAATGGCAGCCAAATCTGTCTTGGGTTTGTTTACATTTTCCAGCTGTGAGACAAACAGTTCGTTCTCCTTAATGTCCCCCAGACTAGGAGCAAATCTAAACTTGGGGTACTTTCTTCGCTTTATTTTTCGATTTCGGTTTGCCTTAGGGCTGTACATCATGCTTATATCGATGGCTACAAGATCGTCGTTGAAATCCCAAGCAGACTTTTGGCCGTATTTGAAATCGAAATCGTAAATCTTAGCCACATTCAGTTCCTTCATCGTGAGCGGTTTGTCATCATACAAAAAGCATGTACACTCCGGAGAGTGTTCTTCAAGAAATGGTTCTGTTTTGCTCATAATTTCGACGCGCTTTCTTGTTTACGAACTAAGCCCTTTCTAGTTCAAATGTTCAAAGACAACTGATACAAGAAATTAGTTCGGGCACTTTTACACTCCAAACTACAAAGGACCAATACAAAACAAGCAGTTATTTTGAGACATTGTGGCAAACCTCAGCTTCTGGTCTAGAGCAGCAATATCAATTGAGCTGACACGCAAGGATTACAGGATTAAATGAAAATGAAACAAACAGTTTCAAAAGCCAGAAATGTACACAGTATGACGCACCAGTGTATGGTCATCATTGTACATGTCTTCCTAGCATATAGATATAATCATTGAGACACCATAACTTCCCTTGTAAAACTGATAAACACAAAATTAAGGAAATCAGTTGTTTTGAGTAACGTTTCTTTCAAAATTCAGCTATATTGGTCTTGAAGGATGAAGTGCTTGAGCGAGTTCATTTCATCGGACAACTGCACGCGCACACAACACGTACGTACATTCACTTTAAACGCGCGGCACGAGGACATATAAAACGGTTCAGAGGAGACAAATGTCCGATACGAAAACCTTGACTAACTTCATATCAAGAATAAGATACTTCTTTTCTGATACTAGGCTATTCGAAATTGTATAGGGAATTGGGGCTTGTTTTAAATTTTAACCAATCGATAACGGGACAACACCACATGAAAGATTGCGTTGATATGGGTCATTTGGCTTTGTTTGATGCTTTTAAGATGAACAGAGACCAAGTTATGGACCTTAAAACATGGTTTAAAATCCAAACAAACGTCGTTAATTTTGAGACAGCGTCCCCCCAAACCATTTTAAACTCTTAAATTTTTTTTCTGTGATACTCTTGATAAACAGCACGCAATACAATCAGAAACAATGACGTTTAAAACCGTCCTGGCTTTCCTAGGCAGTGCAAAACAAACTACGAGGTACGTGTATAAGGCAGATAAAAGTAACTTACATCGGTGCAAAATGAGTGTGAAGTGAGAGGAATTGGCAGGAGTGCCGGACGAGATGAAACTGAATGAGGTTGGAGTAGTAGGAGTAAGCGAAATCTTTTCTGTTGCTGGTTGTTCTTTTTGGCTGTGATCCATGAAATAAAGTAAAAATTCCTGTATGGCACTAAACTAAATTTTTGTCTTTTTGACTTCTAATTATAATGAACCATTTATCCATGTTTTCTGCAGTACCGACTCATTCACCATTTTATAGTCACAACCATATGTGAAAAAAAGAAACACTTAGAACAGCAAATGTCACAGCTCACAAATCTTGGCAATGTCAATACTTAAAGATGCCTCAATGCAATATGAAATTGGCAGGTGATCAAAAGTTGTTTTAGGGGGGAGTTTTTATATATATTTAAACGGTATTGCTGGTCCATTTGCAACATGAATACCGTAAACTACCACTTATAAGCGCCTCCGCTTATAAGCCCCCCCCCCCCCCCCCCCCCAACTATCACGCATAGAAATGTCGAGCTCATAATTTAATTGTTTTAGTATAAATCTACTATTCGCTCACAGCTTTATCTATATTCTCTTCACAGACACTTCAAAAACGCCAAGACGTGGCCGTCATTTAGATAAGAAGGGCACATTGTTACGTTACTCACTATCTATCACAAAACTGTAATTGTGCTTAGCGTAGGCAAACAGAGAACGGCATTCGTGATAGAACGCTAGCATATTTATAATGGTAATCGAACTGAGTGGAGTGCAATTTG